CCCCAAAACCCCAAAACCCCAAAACCCCAAAACCCCAAAACCCCAATCTAGAGGACAAAAATTGATTAAAATTGTCTTATGGACACTTCTTTTCAATATGATTTGGTCCATGCTCAGCATACTCTTGCTTCGTGAACCACATATGCTTGAATGATGATAGAGAAGAGAGGATAGATGCTCCAATGAAAGAGCTGTAGAGCATATCCCCAGTGCCAAAGCTGGTGTTTCTCTTTTTTATAAAATTGACTGTGTAATTTTGAGGTGCTACTTCTTCTATATCTCTGATTAACCTCTCTTCAAAGTTTTTCAGTAAGGTTGTTCCTCCAGTACACAGAATGTTATTTATACAAATCTCTACGTATGTCCATCTCGGAGGCATTGATTGCTTTCTGGACTAAGCCCTGGAACCCATTGAAGCCATCCAGCTTTTGATTATACTGGTCATCAGCTTGCATCTCAGCATCTGCATCTTTGGGTTCTTTTTGTTCTTCCGAAGAAGAGGAATCTGAAATGAAGAAAATTTCAGGAATTTTGAACTGCTCTCCTTTCACAGTGAAAGATTTGCCATCAGGAAGAGAGTAAGTCTTGGACTCAAACTCATAGCTAGGGTCTCTTTTGGAGATTGGCTCAATACTACATTCCAAGAGATCGTGCTTGATTTTCTTAACCATCCTTTCAATATGGAATGCATATACACTTTCATGAATATCCTTCTTTGCAAGGTTCAACTCTTTGAGATCATAATTATCTGCTTCGAGGATGGAAATTGGGTCTATTTCAAAAGCCTGATTGGTAAGGAATTTCTTGACATTCTCTGAAATAACATTTCCAGCCACTTTTGATTTTTGAATAGTGCTTTGAGAAATGTACCCGTCATGGACTGGAACTGCATAGGTGTTGTTTTCACCACTATCAAATACCAGACTTGTGGTTCAACCAACAGAGAATGAGCTCAAGACAGGAGCCTTAGCTATAAACATCTGCTCAAATGATAACTTTTCAAATATCTGTTCGACTAATTTGGCTCTGTTCTCTTTTCTTTGCTGGGCAGGCTCAGTCAAAAATGCGCCTAGAAGTAATTAGACAATCAAAAATAAGGATAGCAAAATATAGTGAGTAACTTTGATGATAAACGAAACAAGAATGTCTTACCAATGCTGACATCTTTATTTCTAGCCTTTTCTAAGATCTGAGCAAAGATATCATAATCAGAAATGTAGCTATCTTGATCAACAATTTGCTTCATCTTGAGACCTTCATGGTATTGATTCAGCTCTTCACTTCCAATCAGAGGATCGGAAGATGATTGAAGAATTCCAACTTGGGAAGGAGTATTGATGACAGGATTTCACTCTCCTGCCCTTCCTAACCTAATTGTATTACTTCCAATATCTGCAATCACGTGTGGGATGTAGTCCATTTTTAATTTAATATTATAAAAACAGATATTTTGGGGTTTTGGGGTTTTGGGGTTTTGGGGTTTTGGGG